GGGTTCGATTCCTCAGCACCACATAAGCAAAAAGAAAAAAGCCGGAAGTGGCACTGTGGCTCAAGTGGTAGAGCACTAGCGTTGAGCTGAAGAGCTGAGGGACAGCGCCCAGGCCCAGAGTTCAGGCCCCACGACCGGAAACCCCCTCCCCCCAAAAAAAATCATAGAAAGGGTGACTGTGGCTCAAGTGGAAGAGCATTTGCCTAGTAAGTGGGAGATCCTGAGTTGAGTCGTCAGTACTGAGACTCACTCTAGGTATTCTGTAAAAAAAAGAATGCTAACGAATAATTGTAAAGGCAGTGATATAATTAGAAAAAGATGATACAATAGCACTTTAACTAGATTAGTAAAACATTATCAAAATAATCACAAGGTGAAGGTTTAATAAAGTAGTTGACGTTGTGGTTCCAAAAAACATTATAAATACTACTTTCTGGTTGAGAGACAAAAGAATATGATGGTATATCTGTTGAAATCAGCTGGGGATAATATAATTTAGTGGTAGAGTGCTTCACTAGCATGGGGGAGGTCCTAGGTTCAGTCTTCAGCATTGCAAAAAAAAAAACTACCAAAAAGTTGGAATCATACTGTCTACACTTCAGTCTTGTAGTAAATCTTACATTAAACAGAATCTAGTTAGGCCTTTCTAGGAAACTCATGGGGTAGCATTATATCAGGAAAGGAGACAAATCCCTAAGGGGGAACTTCTAACAGATGACTGATTAGGTCTCTTCAACAAATGAGTATTGTAAAAATGTACTGTCTTACAGTGTGGACATATAGAACACCAAAAAACGACAAAATGTGGTCTTGGATTAACACAATTTAAATAAACCAGTTGTGAAGGAAATTGAGGAGAAAATGGGGGAAATTGAAAATGTACTAGGTTAGGCTTTACTGTCTTGTTGACAAAGTAGAAAAGTGTTATTTTTTGAAATGCAAAGAATATTACACAAGAGTAATATGCTTTTTTTTTTTTTTCCATGGGACTTAGACACAGGGCCTGGGTACTGTCCCTAAGCCTTTTCACTCAAAGGTAGTGTTCTGCCACTTTGTGTCACGGTGCCACTTTTGGTTTTCTGATAGTTAATTGGACTTTCCTGCCTTGGCTGGCTTTGAACTGCAGTCCTCAGCTCTTAGCCTCCTGTGTAGCTAGGATGGTATGAGCCACCATCGTCCAGGCAAGTACTGTACTACTGAGCTATATAGCTAGCCTCTGGAAAAGTTTTGGGCTTTTTTTTTTTTTGTTGGTCAGGGGGCCTGAACTCTGGGCCTGGGCGCTGTCCCTCAGTTCAAGGCTAGCACTCTGCCACTTGAGCCACAGTACCACTTCCAGGTGTTTCTGCTTATGTGGTGCTGAGGAATCAAACCCAAGGGCTTCATGCATACAAGGCAAGCACTCTATCACTGAGCCACCTTCCCAGCCCCAGTAATTTTTTTTCTTTAATGAAAGGCAGTTCAAAATAAATAGCTTAGCACAATTAAATTATGCTTGGCCTGTGGCTTCAATAATTAGCAATACTACAACATTACTTTTTGAGTGCAGGGTGCTGGTGGCTCACACCTGTAATCTCGCCTGGGCAGGAAAGCCCAGGAGGTTTTATCTCCAGTTAACTAGCAAAAAGCCAGAAATAAGGAGTTGAGGCTCTCCAGGTGCCGGTGACTCACGCCTGTAATCCTAGCTACTCAGGAAGCTGAGATCTGAGGATCCAGGTTCAAAGCCAGCCTGGGCAGGAACATCTGTGAGACTGTCCAATAAACCACTAGAAAACTGGAAGTGGTGCTGTGGCTCAAGCAGTAGAGTGCTTGCCTTGAACTGAAGAGTGCAGGGACAGCGCCCAGGCCCAGAGTTCAAGCCCCATGGTCGACCAAAAAAAAAAAAAGTGTTGAGGATTAAGTTGCTAGCCTGAGCACAAAAGCTTAGAGACAGCATCGAGGTCCTGGTTCAAACCCTAGGACTGGCAAAAAAAAAAAAAAATGAAGCAAATTATTTTTTGAAATTGGAACTTTTATTTGACAGAAGACAAAATTGTATTCATGATGAATTCGAGTTAGTAAAAACATACTTAATCCCTAACCTCTCAGTCAGTGCACCCCATATATGTTACCCGAAATTTAGAGTAGCTAACTTGGTAATGTGTGATATTCATAATTTACTGCTGAATTAGGTTTGTGAATTATTTATTAAGAATTTTTATGTATTCAAGTAAATTGGTCTACTGTTTTTTTTAAAATTTTTTTTGCCAGTCCTAGGGCTTGAACTCAGGGCTTTGTCCCTGAGTGCTCAAGGTTAGCACTGTACCACTTTGAGCCACAGTGCCACTTCGGTTTTCTGGTGGTTAATTAGAGATAAAAACCTCATGGACTTTCTTTGCCCAGGCTGGCTTTGAACCCTGATCCTCAAATCTCAGCCTCTTATGTAGTTAAGATTACAGGCATGAGCCAATGGCGCACTACTTGTCTGTTTTTATATGCATTTAAAATTTACTTTTTTGTCAACTTCGAATTTTATTTACTGGTAGTTGCTGGGACTAAGCCTTTGGTTTATTGAGACAGACTGTGGGACGCATCCCAGGTAGGCCTGGACAGCAGTGATCTTCTGCTTCCTGTGCCATCACGTCTGGCTCTTCTATACATTTTTTATTGTATGGTTTGGGCTGTGTAGTTTTGATTACTAACTTTTTTTTAAAACATCCTTTAGTTTAAGCTATGAAGAAGGACACCCCTCACAGTCTGAACCAGATATCCTTCAGAGACAGACATTTGCAGCCTCTCATCAGCTTCCTGGCTATGCCCCCACACCTCAACCAACCGGTAACAATTCTCTTGTGAAGTATACTATGAACTGAGGTTCATTTAGTGAATAAAAAGAGAAATAAAATTTCACATTTGGGATTATAAATGTACTTTGTCAGATATTAATGTATGGGAAATATAAACCTGAAAATGAGATTAAAAGCTTTTTTGTTTTTGTTTTTTTGGTGGGTCTTGGGGCTTGAACTCTGGGCCGGAGCGCTGTTCTGGGCCTTGAGCTCTTCAGCTCAAGGCTAGCATTCTACCACTTGAGCTACAGCGCCACTTCCGGTTTTCTGGTGGTTTATTGGAGGTAAGAGTTTCATGGTCTTTCCTGCCCGGACTAGCTTTGAACCTCCATCCTCAGATCTCAACCTCCTGAGTAGCTAGGATTACAGGCGTCAGCCACCAGCGCCTAGCAGCTTTGGTTTTTACTAATGGATCATGTATCTATCTGTATGATTAATAAACTGAGACTTTTTTAGGTTGTGCATCATTGAAGATTTTAAATTATGAAGATGTTCAAATTAGTATTTGTTCTTTCAGATAAAGCATTTTAGTGTTATGGAATTTCCTGCCTTCACTTTTTAAAAATTCTTGTAAACATAAGATCAAAAATTAATTTTATATGTGTATATTTTTACTTTGGAATTTATTTTCTCTCTTCCACTCTAGGTCTCTCGGGAATATTTGACACTAGTGTGAATAGTGACAGCACTAACACTAAAGAGTCTTCTGTGATGAATTTTCTTTCCTCTGTTGAGTCACGAGCTACACAAGCTGCTTCTTCAGGAACTACTCTTTTACCACAGTTCAGGACTCCATCCTGGCAGACAGGTGATTCAATTTTTTTCAGAATTTTTTAAATCATCTAAAAATACTGGTTAAAAATTATTTTTTATGGCTCTTTGAGGAAGGCTCTGAATGAAATTTAATTTTCTAGTGTACTTTTTTTTTTTTGTCAGTCGTGGGGCTTGAACTCTGGGCCTGGGCGCTGTCCCTCAGCTCTTCAGCTCAAGGCAAGCGCTCTCCTACTTGAGTTACAGCGCCACTTCGGGTTTTCTGGTGGTTTATTGGAGATAGGAGTCTCACGGTCTCTCTTGCCCGGGCTGGCTTTGAACCACGATCCTCAGATCTCCTCTTGAGTAGCTAGGATTACAGGCGTGAGCCACCAGTACCCGGCTCTAGTGTACTTTAAAACCTGGCATTTGGGGCTGGGAAGGTGGCTCAGTGGTAGAGTGCTTGCCTTGCATGCATGAGACCCTGGGTTCGATTCCTCAGCACCACCTAAGCAGAAAAAAGCCAGAAGTGGCTCTGTGGCTCAAGTGATAGGGTGCTAGCCTTGAGCTGAAGAGCTGAGGGACAGTGCCCAGGCCCAGAGTTCAGGCCCCACGACCACCGCCCCCCCCCCAAAAAAAAAGTCTCACAGCCTGAGCTAGTTTCAAACTGATTCTCAGATCTCAGCTTCCTGAGTAACTAGGATTATAGACATGAACTATAACCACCTGGCTTAATTCAATTTGTTATAATAACTTCAGGCTGCGCAGGTGATGTTTGTTTTATAGTGAATAAAATTTACTTTATCATTAGTGTTTAACTTGAGCAGATTAAATCACTTTAATAAAAGATATAACATGCTCATATTATACCCATTTTCAACAATAATTATGAGATCTATGTGTACTTCTCTGTAAATGTTTTAAATTTTACTTTTCAAGAGGTTCTACTTAAATTATAGGCAAAGTTATTTTTTCTGAGACAATGACAAGATGTCTTGGGCTTGTTTTGTTTCAAAGAACAAATGTCACATACCATATTTGCAAAGATTTTCAAAAGTAATAGCGGTAGGAAACATTACTTTACCTAATGGAATTTCTCAGCATGCCTAGCAGCTTTTTTTTCCTGTTTGGAAAGGGAAGCACAATGATTTATGTAAATTAAATTATTTATTTATTTATTTATTTATTTTGGGGGGGTCCGGTCGTGGGGCCTGAACTCTGGGCCTGGGCACTGTCCCTCAGCTCTTCAGCTCAAGGCTAGCGCTCTACCACTTGAGCCACAGCACCACTTCCGGCTTTTTTCTTTTTGCTCATTTGGTGCTGAAGAATCAAACCCAGGACCTCGTGGATTCAAGGCAAGCACTCTACCACTGAGCCACCTTCCCAACCCCATGGTGGTTTATTGGAGATAAGAGTTTCACAGACTTTCCTGCCTGGGCTGGCCTTAAACCACGATCCTCAGATCTCAGCCTCCGGGCACTAGTGGCTCACACCTATAGTCCTAGCTATTAATAGGTTTTATTTTTAATGTTCACACATACAAACAAGTATTTGTTTCCCCTCTCATTTACCTTTTTCCTCAATGTTCTGCCCTGGTGCTCGACCCCCATCCCCAGCCTGGTTTACTTCTCTTTTTTTTTTTTTTCAATGGGTATTACTTGCACTGAGGGTTTACAGAATGGTTGCTTGGATGCTCATATAACTTAGATTTTGCTTTAAGAAAAGTGGTTTTATTTCTGTAATCCTAACTATTCAGCCTAATAGATATTTTGATTAGTTGGGGATTATATAATTCATTACTTTGTATACGTTTAAGTATTGGTGCTATGATTGCATAAAGACCTTTATACTTCTCTTCATAGGCATGCATTCCTCAGCAGCAACTGAGTTGTTTGTTACTGGACCTTTGCCAACCACTGGAACACTTCCACCTTCTGCCCTCTCAGCTTACCAGCATCCCACCGCCTTTAACAACAGAAACTTTGCTACCACCTCACCTTTGGTGCTTCAGGATTCAAGTTTTAACACTGCAGCAAATGGAATTTTAAATCCTCATGACCCTTTGCTACAAATTAAAACTTCCCAGGGAACTGTTCCAACTGCTTTGGCATTTGAACGCCTGGGCAGTTCTGCATTAAGTAACAGCTTACCACCTCAGTCTTCGACATATCGCTCAGCTCAAGAATCTGCACCCCATCTTTTACAACCTCAATTTAGTTTGTTGCCTTCAGCTCTTGGGGGAGCCCAGCAAACTCCTCAAGCCTACAGTTCTACTATCTTTTCTAGTTCTACTGCTTCCATTGAAAGAGCTCTCCGAGAATGTAGTGTTATTAAACACCATCAGCGGCCTTCAGGTACCCAGTCTATTCAGGCACAACTGACTGGTTCACAGCATTCCTTACATAGTTACCTGTCAAATGCAAACGTAGTTAATTTTCAGGAAACATCTAGGCAGTCATCGTTACCTTGTAGTCCAATTGGAGAGTCTACTCAGGTGAGCAATGGAGTATTGCAACAGAAGACCCCCCAGGTGTCGGATCTTGCTCAGTCTTACTCTTCGGCAGTTCCATCATCAGGGTATCCTTCTACTACAAAAGTAGATAGCTGCTCTACAAAACTACCACTGACATCAACTAAGACTCCAAAACCTCAAAGCTTAATTCCTCCTGTGCAAACACTAAGCTATTCCAAACCTTTACATAACCAGAGTTCTGTAGTATCAGGTCAAGCACAAATTTATTCTACAGCACAGCTACCAAGCCTTTTATCAGTTAGTCAGTCCCAAAATTATGGTTTAGTACAGCCACATAATGTGCCATCTATTGTGCACTCACAGGTTTATAGGTCCAACAGGGTTGAGAAATTGCCATCCTTATATAAAACATTGGCTTATTCTTTGTCATCTCAGCCTATAACTTCTGAAAACCAGACACTTAGTTATTCATCTAGTCAGCAAGAAGTATTATCTTCAATTACAAATGAGAATTACCCAGCTCAAACAACAGATCTATGCTCAGTCAGTCAATCTCAAAGTTACTCATCTGGTCATTCTCAGGGTTTATCACCAGTTAGTCCAACACGGGTCAGTTATTCATCTCAATCGCAAATTCTGTCAGTCAGTCCATCAGAAAGCTACGCATCAGGGCAGTCCCTGACTTTAACAGCCCCCTCCCTTTCTTATTCTTCTGCTTCTCGGGCTCAGAACTTGTCAGATTCTAATGCAACCCCAAATTACATTTCTATGCATTCTTCCCAAAATGCTCAGACTCAAGAATCATCATCACCCCAAGCACAAAAGTTTTTGCCTGCTGTACAGTCATCATCTTTTGCATCTTCTCCTCATTGTCAGACCTTACCGAGTAATATACCTTCCCCTGATCCAAAGTCCTATGCTGAAAGAAAACTTGACTCAACTGTGTATACGTCTTCAAAGCAAGAAGATGATTTTCCAATGCAAGAGTTACAAACGTTACAGCCACAGGCATCTCTTGACTCATCAAACCAAAGGCTGTCTGATGGAGAAGTGAATGCTCAAGAACCCATTTATAAGGCATCCAAGGCAGATGACAGCTATTCTCAAAGTGTAATCAGAAGTAATTCCCATCTTGAAGATCAAGTTGTTGGGATTACTCTACAGGGATCAAAAAAGGAAGAAAACATAGTTGGTTCAGTGACTCAACTTAACCAACAAATTGGCCAACCCAATAATGCAGCAACCCCTGATCTCAAAAAGGCAACCAGTTTGATGCAAACACCACAAATGAGGTTGAATAATAAAGACCTGAGCCAGCAGCATTCTCTTACACATAAACTACATGAGGCCAAGGTGCAAGAACAGCATGATCAAATAATTAATGCCTCATCTCAGATTCAAATTCCAAATCATGCTTTAGGGCATACTCATCAGGCATCTCTTCCTAATGCACAGGTCCTTTTAGATTCTGCCTGTGATTTACAGGTTCTTCAGCATTCAATATTACAGGCAGGCTTAGGACAAGTAAAGTCATCTTTACAGCGTGTTCAGAGTCCTCAACAAATAGTACATCCTTTCCTTCAAATGGATGGCCATATTATTCAGAGCAATGGTGATCATTCTCAGCAGCCACTCCACCCTCAAAATTCAGAGATTATGAAATTAGACCTCTCTGAGTCTTCAAAACCACTACAACAGCATCTAACAACAAAGGGCCATTTCAGTGAAACAAATCAACATGATTCTAAGAGTCAGTTTGTTTCTCTTGGATCAATATGTTTCCCAGAGGCAATGCTTCTCAGTGATGAAAGAAATATTTTATCAAATGTAGATGATATCTTAGCAGCTACAGCAGTAGCTTGTGGAGTTACACCTGATTTTTCCAAGTCAACTTCAAATGATACTATGCAGACTGTTGAAGGTGGTGATCCTAAATCTCATTTTCAGCAGTCATTAGATGTCAGGCATGTGACTTCAGATTTTAACTCAATAACAGCTACAGTAGGGAAGCCACAAAATATAAATGACATTGCCTTAAATGGAAATCAGGTTACTGTAAACCTTTCACCGGTACCTACCCTTCAGTCAAAAATAACTCTTGATCAACAGCACATTGAAACACCTGGTCAAAATATGCCAACTAAAGTAACTTGTGCAGTGGTTGGACCAAGTCATGAAGTCCAACAGCAAAGTTCTGGGTCCTTCAAGAAACAGTCTGCTACCAATCATGAGTCTGAAGAAGACAATGAAGTTCCTGTTGATAGTACATTAAATAATAACAGAAACCAAGAGTTTGTTTCTAGCAGTAGGAGTATAAGTGGAGAGAGTGCTACATCAGAGAATGAGTTTACCTTAGGGAGTGATGACAGTATGTCAGTGAACCCCACTAGGAGTGCACTTGCACTGTTAGCTATGGCCCAGCCTGTTGACACAACCACTGCCAAGGTTGAAGAGGAAAACCAAGATTTAATACAGTTTAGCCTCCCAAAGAAAAAAGGTAAAGGAAAAGGGCAAATGAAAGAGGAAGACAATAGTAATCAAAAACAGCTAAAAAGATCTGCCCAAGGTAAACGCCAGAATCCCAGGGGAACAGATCCATATTTACCATATACATCACCTTCCTCAGAGAGCTGCCATGAAGGCTATCAGCATCAGGAAAAAATGAGACAGAAGATCAAAGAAGTAGAGGAAAAACAGCCAGAAGTAAAAACAGGATTTATTGCCTCTTTCTTAGATTTTCTGAAATCTGGGCCCAAGCAGCAGTTTTCCACTCTTGCTGTCCGCATGCCTAACAGGACCAGACGACCAGGGACCCAGATTGTTCGTAGTGTTTGTCCCCCACCACTTCCAAAGACCTCATCCACATCACCAATGCCTTCAGTTTCAGAAACTGGGAGTGTCAGTCCAACAGAAAAGGCTGATAATGAACTGAGAAACTTGGAAAACTTACCTTCATTTTCTTCTGATGAGGAAGATCCTGGAGTGTGCACTCATGATATCTATAAAAGCATTTCTGCTCCCTTAACTGCATTGGATGCTACTGCTGATAAAACAAAGAAGACAGGTAAGGTTTTAAGCAGATTCACATTTTACTTTCCACTACTGTTCTAGCTATTGCCTATATTTTATACTTTTTAAATATAAAGTAGGTGTGCAAATAAATTTTTAGAATAAAATGCATAAGCAGGTTTCTTAGAGACTTAAACCTTTACCTATAGGAAAGTTTTGGGTTTTAGGTTGAATCCTTCCAGTTTTCTTGGCTTTTTGCCACAGGCATTTTAACATACATGGTTTGATATATTTAATTTCAGACATTTTTTGGAGGTGAGACTTTGCTTGGAGGCCTTGTTGTATAAACCTGGAATGTTTTGACATGATCATTTCACCTGAAGATTAGTATTCTACTATTAAGTATAGTTAGATGAAATGTACATTCATCTAATTATGATAAAAATTTTACTGACACACTTTGGGTACATATTTTACTTTATGTTTAATAGAGGAAATGTTCTAAGTATTGCCTTCTGTAAACCATTGTAGGTAAATAGGTTACTTTTTACAATATATATATATATATATATATTTTTTTAATTGGGTCCAGTCGTGGGGCCTGAACTCTGGGCCTGGGCGCTGTCCCTCAGCTCTTCAGCTCAAGGCTAGCGCTCTACCACTTAAGCCACAGTGCCACTTCCAGCTTTTTTCTTTTTGTTTATGTGGTGCTAAGGAATCAAACCCAGGGCCTCGTGGATGCAAGGCAAGCACTCTACCACTGAGCCACCTTCCCAGCCCCTAGGTTACTATTTTAAGGAACATACTAAGGAAAAGATTTTAAATAGTAGTGTTATGAGATCTATATTAATGTCTCCAATGTTGGTTATATAACTGACAACAAGGGAACTGACTAGATTCACTTGTAAGCAGTGGAGCTGAACCAAGATAGATCTGTTTCTAGAGCACGCTGTTATAGCTCTGTAGTATAATTTGAAGGCTGGTATTTTGATACTCTTTACATGGAATTCTTTTTCTTTTCTTTTTTTTACATAGAATTACGTATGCCTGCATATATGAATTTGTGGATTGATTTTTCTAATTCTGAGTAATTATATTGGTATTTTGATGGTTATTACATTGACTCTGTAGATTTCCTTTGGCACGAAGGTAATTTTCATGGTATTAATTCTGCCAGTACATAATCATGAGAGGTCTTTCCGTCTTCAGTTTTTTTCTTAAAGTTTTTATAATTTTCTTAAATATTTTATAAGAGAAATGTTTTTTTGTTTGTTTGTTTTGTTTTGTTTGCAGTCTTGAACTCTGGGTCTAGCCATTGCCCCTGAGCTTTTTTAGCTCAAGGCTAGAATTTGAGCCATAGCACCACCACTTCCAGCTTTTTCTGTGTATGTGGTACTGAGGAATCAAACTCAGGGCTTCATGCATGCTAGGCAAGCACTCTACCACTAAGCCACGTTCCCAGCCCAAGAGAAATGTTTTTTGCTTCCTATGGTTAATATCTAGGTATTTTGTGGGGGAGAGGGGATATTATGAATAGGATTGTTTTCCTGGTTTTCTCTCTTAGCCCATTCCTTGTTGGTATAAAGAAAAGGTATGCATTTTCAAATGGAGGGTATTATTCCAATTTTATAAGTTCTAGAAGTTTTTTAGTGCATTCTGTTGAGTATAAGATGTTAATTTTTTTCATATAGAAATCCAACTTTTCCTGCATGTATTTTGAAAAAAATGCCTTCATTAAGGACTTTTTACCTCTTTGTCAAAAATTAGTCATTATATGTGTGGATGTATTTCTGGATTTCACTTCTCTTTCATTGACAACATGTATTGATGCTTTTGTCGATATCACAGTCTTAATTGGTATGGCTTTAGAGGAAATCTTCTTTTTTTTGCCGGTCCTGGGGTTTGAACTCAGGGCCTGAGCCTCTCTGTACTCAAGGCAAGTGCTCTACCACTTGAGCCACAGTGTCACTTCCGACTTTTTCTGTTTATGTGGTACTAAAAAATTGAACCCAGGGCTTCATGCATGCTAGGCAAACACTGTACCATTAAGCCACATTCCTAGCCCCTAGAGTAAATCTTAAATAAAGGTAATGTGAGTCCTCTAAATCTGTTCTTTTTCAAAATTGTTTTACCTTCTGTAGCTCTTTTTCCCATATGTTTTTCAACTTATGTGTCATTAGCTACCTTAAATAAAAGCCTTCTGGGAGTCCAGTTGGATAGAAAAAACAATTTCCAAGGTTCTTTACCATAGAAGAGTAACGGGTGACAACAATTAGTTGTAAGTTCCTAAGTACTGACTGGAAAGGATTGTGAATATTCTCAGTACAAAGAAATAGTAAACATGGTGATGGATAAATCATTTACCTTAATTTGATCATTACACATTGAAATGTGTATTGAAACATCACAGTATACCCCATAAATGTGTACATTAGTACATGTTGATTTTAAAAAGTAAAATAATAAAAGTACATTGGAAAAGATAAAAACAAAACTATACAAATAAGTACTATAAGTACCTAATTTATCAATAGCTCACAGCAGAGAGGAATTATTTAAAAAGTGTTTAATACCGATCAGTTGGAAGAATAAGATCACAAGTAAGATCGAAACATCAGTGTCTTGATTTATAAAATAAATAGAACTTGGAACTTCATAATGGATGTGGAGGGGAAAAACCTACTGGGAGTATAATTTTATTGAATCCTATAGCAATTTGAGCACTTATCTGTTAATATATTGAGACTTAACATTGTATATTTTCCATTTGATTTTTTTTTTTTTTTGCCAGTCCCGGGGCTTGAACTCATGGCCTGGGCACTATCTTGAGCTTCTTTTGCTCAGTGCTAACACTCTACCACTTGAGCCACAGTGCCACTCTGGCTTTTTTTCTGTTTATGTGGTACTGAAGAATTCAACCCAGGGCTTCATGCATGCTAGGCAAGCCCTCTACCATTAAGCCATCTACCTAGCCCCTCCATTTGGTTTTTAAAATTTGTCTTTTGTGTATTTTGGTATACACATTCTGCCATGTGTTTTGCTAGATTTATGCCTGAATATTTGGGGTACTGCATATAAGTATGCATATATTATAAATCCTAAGTTTTTGCTCTTTGGTTGTTTTTTTTTCTTGCAAATATGGGGCCTTGAATTTAGATGCCGTAGGCTTGCCAATAGTCATGCTTGCTCATTACAGGTAATCTACCACTTGAGCCATGCCTTCAGCTTGGCTTTTTGCTGGTTATTTTGAAAACAAGAGTTGGACTTTCTGCCTGGGTTATCTTTGAACTGTGATTTAGGATTTTTGTTTCTCTTTTTAGATTTCACACTATATTCTGTGTGGACAATGATGTACTCTGCAGTGAGGAAGGTTTTCTTTCATCTCTTTCGATGAAGACTTTTTTCATTATGTTCCTGTGTGTGTGTGTGTGTGTGTGTGTGTGTGTGATGTACTCTGCAGTGAGGAAGGTTTTCTTTCATCTCTTTCGATGAAGACTTTGTTCATTATGTTCCTGTGTGTGTGTGTGTGTGTGCGTGTGTGTGCGTGTGCGCACGCGCGCGCTAGTCTCCTGGGCACTGAAATTATATATACACCATCATCTGTGGCTTTTTTTTTTTACAAATTATTTGAATAATTTTTAGAATTATTCTCTATTTTGAGGCTCTCCCTCTCTCTTCCCCCTCCCTTCTCTGTCTCTGTCTTTCTCTCTCTCTCTCTCTGTCAGTCGTGGGGCTTGATCTCTGGGCTTGGGCGCTGTCCCTCAGTTCCTCAGCTAAAGGCAAGCACTCTACCAGTTGAGCCACCGAGCCACTTCCTGTTTTCTGAGTGGTTTATTGGAGATAAGAGTCTCATGGACTTTTGTGCTTGGGCTGGCTTTGAACCATGATCCTCAGATCTCAGCCTGCAGAGTAGCTAGGATTACAAGCGTGAGCCACCAGCACTTGGCTCTCTCTCTCTTTTAATTGTATCAAATGTGGGGCTGGAACTCCTGTGCATTGTCCCTGAGCTTTTGTGCTCATGGCTAGCACTCTACTACTTGAGATACAGCTCCACTTCTGGCTCTTTTGGTGCTTAATTTGGAGATAATGAGTCTCATGGACTTTCCTATCCTAGTTGGCTTCGAACTATGATCCTCAGATATCAGCCTTCTGAGTAGCTAGGATTACAGGTGTGAGCCACCAGCACCCAGCTTCTCTTTGTTTGGTGAATGGGTGTAATGGTGAGTAGTTATTAGAAAATATAGACTCAGATTTTTATAATTTACTGAGTTAACATTTTTACCATTTTAAGTAGAACATAGAAGTCTGGCAACTATATAGTTGTCTTCACATTTCTCCTTGCATTTTGTGTGTGTGTGTGTGTGTGTGTGTGTGTGTGTGTGTGAGACAGAAAACTCTTGTTAGTCATTTTTGTTGTCAGTAGTTAAATATATATTTTGCTATTTTCATTTGTTGTGTTAATTCTCAGTTACATGACAAATACCTGTGAGAAAAAAAATAGAGAGGAAAGAGAGAAAGAGAGAGAGAGACAGAGAAACAGGAAGGGACCAGGTACAAGACAGATCTTTACAAATCATGTCCCCAGTTACCTACAAGCTCCAAGTTGGCCTGCCTTCCACTTTTCTTTTTTTTTTTGTCGGTTGTGGAGCCTGAACTCTGGGCCCGGGCACGGTCCCCCAGCTCTTCAGCTCAAGGCTGCCACAGCTCCACTTCCTGCTTTTTCTGCCTATGTGCTGCTGAGGAATCAAACCCAGAGCCTCATGCATGCGAGGCAAGCACTCTACCGCTGAGCCACCTTCGCAGAGCCATGCCTTCCACTTTGTACCACTTCGCAGTTCCATCGTATTATGAAACTATCAAGGGATTTGTCTACTGACGAAGTGAGGGCTCTCATTATCTAGTCACTTCTCAATAGCTGTGTCTACCAGCTAGAGATCAAGTCTTGAACACATGAGCCTTTGGGCGATGTTTTATCTTGAAACTACATTAGCTTTCCAACACTGAGATAACACATCTGGGAGAAAAAATCCTTAAAGGACAAAAGGATTGTTTCCA